GGGTGTAGTCCAAATATTATTCTTTGTGCCAAACTGAACTGGTTTCTGAGTATTATTTTTTCTGGGTTTTTTTGGTAAGCTCTCACGGTTGTATTGATTTATTTTCTGCAAATTGTCACTGCTGTCATTTTGCACAGATTTTTCGGTTTCGCAAAGATTCACTTCACTCGCGATCTGTAACTCGAAGATGGATTCAAACCGGAATGTGGTCCTCAAGAGTGTATTCCTGGTTTATCTCGGATGGGCAGACACAACCACAACCACGCCGCGACGCGATTCAGAACGAACTGCGGCTCCGAAGCGCAGATCCTACGTCAACTTCGGCCATTCGGAAACTCACCTCAATACGACCCGAAGTCCGAATCCGAAGTCCGAATCCGAAATCCGAATCCGAATCCGAGTTCGATTCCAAGTCCGAGGCGTGGCGATGCTCGGCGTGCCCCTTTGTGGGTCTGTGGAGCAGCAGGGAAAAGTGAAAGCTGTTGAGGCAGGTTAGTGTTCCGCTCTCTCCGTGGAAAACAGAGAGAGAGAGAGAGAGAGCATTGTGTCGCCTTCCAGCGATGTTTCTGATTAGACTGGAAGCGGCGGTTGATAAGCCTCAAAGGCAAAGGATAACTGTTGCATGTAACTTCGAGGGAAGAGAGTATATTGAGTTTGAAGTTGGAATTGAGAGTTGTGATAAGAAAATCATAAATAAAGGGGAAATATAAGCCTTATGATATATGATTAATGATTATGATGAGTCAAAGAACCCAATTTTAAAGGAAAATAAATAAATAAACATTTTACATTGAAAGCTAAATGAAAAGAAATATAAGCAATAAAAATGTATAATGTATTTTTTAATAATTTTATAATTTATTTTAGAATTTATTTTATAACTATATAAAAAAAAGTTATATTAAAACAATTTTAATACAAATTATGTACTTGCGGGGTATTATATAGTCAAAAGCTTAAAACTCTGTGAAGGACTCATTTCTGACCCTATAAATCATATATATTCTTGGTCAGCACGAGCAGCCGAATTTTCGCTTAGTTATTTTTTAAAGATTGAAATAGTCATATAAAAAACAAGATTAACATCGGTTCAAAGAATGGTATTATCATTTTAGTCTTACTTTTTAAACTGAGTACGTATTAATCTAATAAAAACTACCATAAGACTGCTTTCCGAATTAAAATTAATGTTTTTTTGGCAAAGTTGTGATCGATTCTGTAATCTGATCCAATTATAAACTGGAAGAGTATACAAGCTTCGGCTTTCCAAAGTTTGCTGCTATGCTTAAAGTAAAATAATGTAAATTAATTGTTTATTGCTTTTTTAAATGTGCTTTTTAATACAATAAATACCAATTTCTTTTTTTCTTGAATTAAAATTGAATCAAATTGATTACTTGTTACTTCCACACTTAAATTATTAAAATTCCAATCTAGTTAATTTTCCATTCAATATAAACTTTATAAAATCTTTTTAAAATAAAACTCTAGTTTGAAATTTTTGAAATGAATTTATTAAATTCAATTCTTGTCAACTTTCGATGTTTTCTTCGCCCCAGCCAGGACATGCGCACTAGCACAAAGGACTCTCCTCTGTGTCACAGCTGTTCGACAGTGTCCGGCATTCCGGTGAAATCGTGGTGAGTTCGGCTTCTGGAATTGCCACTGATAAGAATCGCTGATAAGAATGCATTACGGCAACTGAAGCCGCAACAAAAGCAACACGTTTCTTTTGCCATTGCAATTGCATAAGGGTTCTATCATCATTATCATCTTGTGGTCTCTGCGGATGGAGGATGCTGCAGGAAGGGAAGGGACGGATGGGAAAACTAGTAAATCCAATGGAGACGTTCGTACGTAGTTAAACCACAAAATGAGCAACGCTGCAGACGCAATTAATGCGCAACGTTTTACAATTAGCGAACTGGCCCAATTATGCAGCTTTTCCCCGGCATTAACCCCTTGGATGCAACCTGCACAGCCGCCGTCGTCGTGAATCTTGCTTGATGCTTTTTCGCACACTTTTGCCACGGGGGAATGGGATTTTAATAGGAAATTCATGGCCGTCGTGACCGCTTGTGGAACCTGAATGCTGGGATGCTGGGATGCTGTGGTACTGGGGTGCCTTTTAATTATGATAATTACATTGTTGTCGTTCTCATTTGCTGACAGCAGCTGGGCCTCCGCCGCAGCGCTGCGATCTCAGTCGTTAGACAAGAGCGGTCCCCCGAAAACACATTTCCCGGAAAGAGTGCATGTTTAATGAAAACTGCACATGATGGTCGCCGCCAGGCCAAAACATATATTATGGAGTCAGTTTTAGGGGAGGACAAATCTAAAAATTCTCAATTTGGAACACATTTTGGGTCTTTAGATCGTAGTTAAAGGTTTAGTCGCATTTAAAACATTACTCTTTGAGTCATTTCGATTCATGACAATGCTAAAATATTGTTGATTTCTTTTAATTTTAAATATTGAACAAGTTGTACAACTTCCTTTAATTATTCAAAAATAATAATAATAATAATAATAATAATATATCTGACAAATTTGTAGGTAATGATAATTATTATTTTTAATATTTTTCTTAAATTATTGTCAACTGAAAAATTTCTTGTCTCCATTTAATTTTAAAGAAAAATTTCGTCATTATTGTTCTCACTAGAATATTTGTTTCAATAGCTACCTTTTTAATAGCTTAACTAAACTTTAAACTAAGAAATTGTTAAAAATGATAATAATCGTTAAATATATTAAGACTAACGAAAACCTCCTGATTATTATTTGTCCCAAAATTATAAAATACCTTTTGTTTTTATACTCTTACGGGGTAAAAGTATTAATTTTGATCAGAAGCTTGTAACGCAGTGAAGGAACCATTTCCGACCCTATAAATCATATATATTCTTGATCAGCACGAACAGCCGAATCGATCTAGCTGGGTCCGGAAGAAAATTTAATTTTTCAAAATATTTTTCAATTTTTTAGTCCAAATTTTACATTAATCAAATATTTGAAATTTGACAAAATTTGAAATTTGTAAACTTTAAAAATTGAATATGCAGATTTGTTAACCCTATGAAAACTAGCTCAAAACAGCTTTCCGAATTAAAATTAATGCATTTTTGGCTTAGTTATGAGTTTTTTAAGCTTTGATTTGTTGAAAAAATTGTCATATAAAATATAGGCTTAAAAATGGTATTATCATTTTAGTCAGAAGCTTAAAACGCAGTGAAGAAACCATTTCCAACCCTATAAATCATATATATTCTTTATCAGCACGAACAGCCGAGTCGATCTAGCTATATCCGGAAGAAATTGATTTTTTTCAATATTTTTATATTTTTTTAGGCCAAATTTTACATTGATCAAATTTTTAAAATTTGACAAAATTTGAAATTTGTAAACTTTAAAAACTGAGTATGCAGATTTGTTAACCCTATGAAAACTAGCACAGAACAACTTTCCGAATTAAAATAAACGCATTTTTGGTTTAGTTATGAAATTTTTAAAATTTGATTTGTTGAAAAAACTGTCATATAAAAATATTGATAAATAGGCTAAAAAATGGTATTGTAATTTTAGTCAAATTTGAAACACAGTGAAGGAACCAATTAAATAATTTTAAAACAATACGCAAGTGTATAAAAACTTCTACTACTTCTACTACTTTAGTTTCCTTTCTGTCTTTTCAAATAAACAAAAGCTAGTTTCCCCCGACTGCCGTCATGGCATTATTTTCCCACTAAATCAACTTTGTCGCGTTGAGTGGTAATTATGTTTCCGCTGAATTTCGGATCTAAATCTCTCAACATTAATTAAGTTATGGCAACCAAAATTCGAATACATTCTAGAGGGAAAGGACGAATTTCGTGGCGAAAAATAAAATGTGAAAATATTCAGCAATTAAGACTTTAGCGAGCTGTGCGATGCGTTTAGATGCGTTTTGCGCATGTTTGCAAATATTTGCAATGCCAGCGGCAGCGTTGAGTTTGTTTTGGCCCCATTTTAGCGTCGGATTTTTCCGGAATTTCCCTGCCATTTGGATGCCGTCGACATCGTCGCATGCAACAATTTATGGGGCTGTCAACAATATGGCAACATGTTTTTTGCCCAGCGCCTGGACATGCTAATTGCATGCACCATGTGGAAATATCAAGTGAGTCGCGTTGAAATTTTTACGAAGCGAATAATTTAATGCGCCATAAATTCGCATGGAGTGTGTGTTAGTGTTAGTGTTAGTGTGTGAGTGTGTGTCTGTGTAGGCTTGTAAAATTGACAGCGAGTGAGCCATAAATTCTGTAGCATACTTTTTAGCACACAAATTTTGACAGAAAAACCGCTGACAAAAGCAGACAGAGGACACAGAGCAAATGCAAATGCAAAATGAGCCATGAGACGAGGACCATACAGATTTTTGTGTGTCAGTTTTATTAATTATAAAAGCAGCGACCGCGTAACATGAGAGCTTTGCTCAAAAGTATAGAATGACATCTGCATTACTTTGCAATTCATTTGCACATTTTTCGCTGAAATTCACGGGTAGTGAAAATTGTTGGTCAACAAAAGTAGTGAATGTGAGCTGGGAAAATTATCCATTTTTGCAGAATTATTATTCACTTTTTGTTCTTTACCCTAAACAGTTTTAGTACATACTTTTGGGAAATATTCATTTCATTTGAAATGTTCTTTAACAATATTGGGTCTGATTCAATGAGCTTTTCCCACGAATTCTACGATTGACGAGTGCTTGCTTTGACTACCCATTGAAGAGTGTTCGTCTGACCTCAAATTGAGTTGAATTTTAATTGAAATTTCACGAAGCTCGAAGTGGGAAGCCCCTTTGGTACCTTTGGCAGGTGGTTGTCATAATTCCTAATTGTTGTGACCACGCAAGCCTAATTATATAATTAAACAATCAGCCGCAATTAGGGTAACACCAAGGAGGACTATTTAAGGGGCAGCCCCCATAAGTTTGAAAGGTAACAAGTCAAGGAGACATGGCCGAGGTCACAGTCAACAGTCTGGAGTTCTTTGGCAGCCACTGGACAGCCTGGCGGGTCCTGGGAGTGGCCCCGCACCGCATCGGGTCCTGGAGGAACCTCTACCTCTGCTACAGTGTCCTGCTCAACCTGCTGGTCACCCTGTGCTATCCCCTGCACCTGGGCATGTCGCTCTTTCGGAACAGAACCCTCACCGAGGACATCCTCAACCTGACCACATTTGCCACCTGCACGGCCTGTTCGGTGAAGTGTTTGATCTACGCCTGGAACATCAAGGATGTGGCGGAGATGGAACGCCTGCTGCTGCTGCTGGACAATAGGGTTGTGGGTCCAGAGCAGAAGCGGGTCTACGGAGAGGTCAGAGTGCAGCTCCGCAATGTCCTGTACGTCTTCATTGGCATCTACCTGCCCTGCGCCCTCTTTGCCGAGCTCTCGTTCGTGTTCAAGGAGGAGCGGGGTCTGATGTATCCTGCCTGGTTTCCCTTCGACTGGCTGAACTCCACGCGGAATTACTATATAGCAAATGTGTATCAGATTGTGGGCATATCCTACCAGCTTTTGCAGAACTATGTCAGCGACTGCTTTCCGGCTGTCGTCCTTTGCCTGATTTCCTCGCACATTAAGATGTTGTACAAACGATTCGAGGAGGTTGGCATGGATCCGGCAAGGAACTCAGAGAAGGATCTGGAAGAATGCATCACGGATCACAAGCGACTGCTAGAGTGAGCTGAATAGGAAAAAGTTTTTAAAATTAATACTATAGTTTGTTGCATATTTCCTAGACTTTTCCGTCGCATTGAGACCTTCATATCCTTGCCCATGTTCATTCAGTTCGCGGTGACCGCCTTGAATGTCTGCATTGGCATTGCCGGTTTGGTTTTCTTCGTAACTGAACCCATGGCCAGGATGTATTTTATCTTTTACTCCATGGCCATGCCCCTACAGATATTCCCATCATGCTACTTTGGCACTGACAACGAATATTGGTTCGGAAAACTTCATTATGCGGCTTTTAGTTGCAATTGGCATACTCAGAACCGAAGTTTTAAGAGGAAAATGATGCTTTTTGTGGAGCAATCCTTGAAGAAAAGCACAGCCGTGGCTGGTGGCATGTTTCGCATCCATTTGGACACATTTTTCTCGACCCTAAAGGGAGCATACTCCTTGTTCACCATTATCATAAGGATGCGGAAGTAAGGATGCTTATTGCCATATTTAAATTTGGTATCAAGAGAAGATCAATAAATGTTTACCATACTTAAACTTGAAGTACCTCTTACCTATATTCTCAATATAAAAATAGAGTGAAATTAATTACTAGAACCACGCACACTCATTTCTAAAATTGGCAACTAAAGTATAGTATTTAAGCAGAGAACCCGGCAATGTTAGAGCTGAGAAATCATCGAAACATGGCCGAGGAGACAGTCAACAGTCTGATATTCCTAAGAAGCCACTGGACAGCCTGGCGGGTTCTTGGAGTAGCCCATCAACGCATCGAGTCCTGGAGGAACCTGTACATCGGCTATGGGATCATTCTGAACCTGCTGGTCACTCTGTGCTATCCCTTTCACCTGGGCATGTCGCTCTTTCAAAACCGTACCCTCACCGAAGACATCCTCAATTTGACCACCTTTGTGACCTGCACTGCCTGCTCATTAAAGTGCTTGATCTATGCCTATAATCTCAAGGATGTGATGGAAATGGAACGACTCTTAAGTCTCCTGGATGAACGGGTAAAGGGTCCTGGACAGAGAGCGATTTATGGAAAGGTCAAGGTGCAACTACGCAATGTCCTGTACATTTTCATTGGCATTTACCTGCCCATCGCCTTTTTCGCCGAACTCTCCTTTCTCCGCAAGGAGGAGCGGGGATTGATGTATCCCGCCTGGTTTCCCTTCGACTGGATGAACTCCACGAGGAACTTTTGCATAGCAAATGTGTATCAAATTGTGGGGATATCCTTTCAGCTTTTACAGAATTATGTCAGCGATTGCTTTCCGGCTGTGGTCCTTTGCCTGATTTCCTCGCACATTAAAATGTTGTATAAGAGACTCGAAGACGTTGGCATGGATCCCGAGGAAGACCCTGAAAAGGAGCTGGAAGCGTGCATCACGGATCACAAGAGATTAATTAAGTAAGTGACATTTTGTGGAGCTTTTGAACGAATGTGAACATTCTGAAATATTTCCCAGACTCTTTCGGTGCCTTGAGGCCTTCATATCCTTGCCCATGTTCATTCAGTTTACGGTGACAGCTTTGAATGTCTGCATTGGCATTGCAGCTTTGGTTTTCTTTGTCTCCGAACCCATGGCCAGGATTTATCTTATATTCTACTCGATGGCCATGCCCCTGCAGATATTCCCATCCTGCTATTTTGGCACAGACAATGAATATTGGTTCGGAAAACTCCATTATGCGGCTTTTAGTTGCAATTGGCACACTCAGAATCGGAGTTTCAAGAGGAAAATGATGCTCTTCGTTGAGCAATCGCTGAGAAAGATCACAGCTATGGCTGGGGGCATGCTACGCGTTCATCTAGACACATTTTTCTCGACCCTGAAGGGAGCTTACTCTCTATTTACACTCATTATTCGGTTGAGGAAGTAGTAAACTCTTCCTATGAAGACTTTAAGATCCCATTCCAAGATGCTGTACTGCCGGAAATAGGATTAAATCCTCTTGTGAACGTATACGTAATATTTAAAATAAATGCTTTACTTTACAGGTTAAGTAAAGATATATCATTTACTCACTTAGGAAACTGTATTAAGTGTAAATCCGAACTTATTTGCAGACAAAATTCCCTTCTCCAAGACTCTAATGGACTGTCTTTGTAACCGGAAGCCATTTGTCATATTTTCCTTCAAAATGGCGGCCTTGCTACTTCCGTTGTAGCACTCAAAACGGAAGTCACAGAATTGACCGTAATGGGATGTAATAGAACGTTTATTGATAATTGATTTGGGGAAAGAATTGCTACAGATTTTTACTAGAATTCTTTTCTCCTCGTTACGTATACGCCACGTGTGCCAGATGGACCGACCTACGACTGACTGGTCTTCGTCGCTAATTGAATCACTCTGAGAAAATTTACATAAGACAGTCGTCAGTCGACAAGTAAATCAATTGCTCAACCAGGATAACAAGACTTGAGCCGAACGCCATTGCCCGCTTATTTATTTGCACAAGCGATAAGACATTAAAAGACTTTTGCCTTTGCCTTTGCCTTTCGAATCGCAGGAAATCGTAGCCAGAGTCGGTAATGCGCTTAAGTCCAGGCAAAGACCGTCTTGGATCTGCTGTAAAATGGACCCAGGAAGAGTCCAATGCAAAGGAGAAAAAGGGAACCAGAATTTATAGCTGGCAAAAAGGAACTAAAGAGCAGCCTGGGTGTGACTTTGTATTCCAATCGATTTGATGACCATGTAGTTGGGGCCGCATCTAAAGTTGATTTGAATTTATTACGGAACGCATTTTCCTCTGTTTGCCGCCTAATTCCCCAAGCCGAGCACGTACTGTATTCCCAGGATTCTCGGGATGGCTAAGCCCAAACCCAAACCCTGAACTCCTGCTCATGCTTAATTTTTAATCAAAACAAGCAACAACTCAAACTGCCAAAGCCGTTTTGTGTTCCAGTTTTAGCCTCACTCTCTTGGCCAGCATTTAGCAGACTCAGCTGTTTGCCGACAGCCGGAAATTGTATTTGGTCACTTGGCTCATTTCGTGAGGACCTCGTCACCGCCATCATCATTATCATCATCATTTCCCGTGCTTATCATCTCCCCCTAGCTGAGTCCATTGCACTTGGCGGGGGGAAGGAAAGATGACTTAAGTTAGTTGGAAAAGCAGACCTGTGCACTTGGAAAAAGAGAAAAGAAGTCTCTGTGGAAAACCAGGACTATTATTCTAAGAAACTAATGAATGTGTTCAGCTGAAACTACATCTTCTCCCTGTGTAACCGAAACCCAAATTCAAATGTATTCATATCTACCAGAAAAACCAGTATTTTCCCCGCCGTGCAGAGCACTCAGCTGGAGTGGCTCATTGGCCACTTTCCCGGCAACCGAATGTAATTTGTTGTTAAGCAGAATGTAATACGGTTGCAATGGCAGCTCCTGCTCCTCCACATTCGTTGCCCTGACATCCTTAAGTAGTCAAAGGATGAGCATGGCTCATGACCATGTCTTCGTCCTTGAGCGAGAAGTGGTTACGTACGTGAGGCACTCGTGTTGAGGAACCACAGAGCCCAACAGGTGCGGGCAAATCAATTTCCTTCGACTAAACCTATTGGTTGGCAAACTTTTCATTTAATTAGCAACAATCGGTGGACGGACGGAGGAGGCAGTAACTAAATCCCAACTTCAGTGGCTTTGACTCGAAATTAATAGTTTGCACACTCGAAAGTCTGTCTGTGGGCCTCTCCTCCAAGTTTCAAATTCTGCAAAGTAAATCAAAAGAAAAATTGACCGAAAACTTTTGTCAATGGCTTAACTTGGCCAACAGCCACATGCGACCGTAGGACGGAGTGGCGCAGGGGAGAGTGGGGGCAACAGGACATCTGCAGCGCGGTGTACTCAAGTAAATTACAAGCTTTCATAGTCCTGGCATATTTAACCACAGCTATGTATGTCGTAGTAGTGTTGTTCTCTCACACATGGGCCTACACTGGGGGAAATCGGGGAAAAATACTATGTGATTATTATTTAGAGTTTAGGATTTGCTAACTTTTTAAGAATATATAAAACATATTGAATATATTAATGCAGGAAATGAAATATTTGTTGAAAAAACTTTAGGTTACTTCCAGGATATTATAATTTTAGTCAGAAGCTTGTAAAAATGTGAAGGAATCACTTCCGACCCTATAAATCATATATAATATTGATCAGCATCAACAGCCAAATCGATCTAGCTATGTCCGACAAAAATTTTAATTTTTCAAAATTTTCACATTTTTATAAAATGAAAATTGTCAACAAAAAATTTAAGAAAAATATAAATTTTTTACATTTTAAATTGGGTATGCAGTTTTAATTATCTACTAAAAACTAACATAATGCTGCTTACCGAATTAAAATTAATGCATTTTTGGCTTAGTTATGAGTTTTTTAAACTTTGATTTGTTGCAAAAATTGTCATATAAAAATATAAATAAATAACAGGTTAAAAAAATGGTATTTTAAATTTAGTCAGAGGCTTGAAACTTAATGAAGGAATCATATCTGACCCTATATATCATATATATTCTTGATCAGCATCAACAGCAGAATCGATCTAGCTATGTTCAACCAAAAACTATTTTTTTTTAAATTTTAGAAATTTTTTTCGTTAAAATTGTGAAAATTTTGAAGAAAAAAATAGGATTTTTTACATTTTAAAATAAGAATGCAAATTTGTTATTCTAACAAAAACTAATATAGGACTGCTTTTCGAATTAAAATTAATGCATTTTTGGCTTAGTTATGAGTTTTTTAAGCATTGCTTTTTGCAACAAAAAAATGGTCATTTAAAAATATCGATAGATTTTCGGTTTCTTCTTAATGAAGTAAATTCCCATGAAAACTCTTGTCTTGTTATAATTTTCCGAGTGCACCGAAAAGCAGGATAATAGTGGCAAAAACGAAATCCATATGGTCCCATATAAAGAGGAGAATTTTACAACCGGCATAAGAAAGTCACTTAACGTGGCCAATGGCACATTAAGTGAGCGATGTGGGTGTGATGTGGCGACCGAGTGAAAGTTAATTTTTGGGCCCCGGAAAATGTGAAAATGTGTGTCGAAAGAAAATATGTGTATATGCATGCACCCACACAGGGTTCCGAAGATATTCTGGAGATACTGTGTGGAGTGGGAAAAGTGGAGGCGTTAGTATAAACATTTTGCCTAAACTATGCCATTAACATACAAAAACTTTCCCAGCAGCCGGCCTGTCCCAGTGACTCCTCCAGCTCTCCGTCGCTCCAAACAACTCTTTGGAGCACGTAAATACTTGCCAGAAACTTGCACGAATTAACAACAAAAAGTTTGTCCTTCTTGTGTGACGGAAAACTTGGCTAGAATAACACAGGACTGCCGCTGGCAAGTGACAATAACACACACAGCAAGTTGAAAGGACGAGAGACTTGGAGTGTGGAATGGATGCTTCGTCAGCGGCAAGAGTTATAGAACATTACTCGGTTTCAGGAAAAGGATTTTTCGGGAGGGAGGCCAGTGCTAAATGTCAAACAATTTGTGGTTTCCTTAGCCACACAGCAAGAAAACGGGGGAAGGGGATGTTGTAATAAATACTTGATGATTTTTATGGTAATTTTCAAAGGGGTAGTGAGAGTTTGGTAAGATTAAATAATTAATTACAAGACATTAGAAAATATGAAGGAGGTATGCAAAACGTTACTGAAATATACTTTGATATAATAAAAAAGATCGCTCAAAAGAAATGGAATCCATAACTATACTTTGCACTTAACCTTTGGTTTTTTCTTATTATAAAAATTTGTAATAATTTTCTGTCTCTTAATCGGTTAATTTCTACAATAATTATATTTTTCAAAGTTCTACCAATATTTTCTGTGTCATTTCCGAAAGAGTTCCCCATCCATCTCCATCTTTTAACTCTGACTTTCCTCAAATCCCTCCTCTCTCAGTCTCCACTTAAAGGGACCAGCCCAAAGGCCTTTTTGCCAAAGTATTTATAGCTCAAAACTTTACGACTACCAGGCCCATAAAAAGCCAAGTCCTGGCCGTATTCCGTCCCAGAGCCCTTTCCAGCATAATTGCCGCTAAAGATTGTTTGGCGTCCGATGTGGATTGTAGTCCAACTATAACTCATTACGGCTAATGAGCGTTATTCGTGCCCCGACGCCCACTCAACTTCATTCCGCATTTTGAATGGCCCAAGGACGAAAATTAGTTTGACTTGTGACACGAGCGAGAAAGAGAGCTCACGAGCAAGGACGAGGACGGGTGGACTTTAACTCTGCCAAAGGGATTACGCTTAATTGACAGCGACAACAAGTGACAGATACTGTCTACGGCTACATAGAGGAGAGAGAGAGTTAAAGGAACTTAAATAGTAGAAGGAGCAAGAAAGGAACGTGTCCTGGCTTACGCTCTTTAAGCCTAGACCAGACAGTTGCCAAAGATCTATAATTATTATTTAAATATAAATATTCTACACAAAAATGTAGTATTGTAACTGAAGCCTAACAAAGTCTGTCAATTAGTACAGATGAAGAAGCTTTGCCAGCAAAGAAAAAGTATATAAAACTCTTAAAAGAAACCCCATAAAGGCTTAAACATGTAACTTACCATTTAAAGTGTTACCTGTGTATTACCTGTGAACTCTCTGGTAAATCGAACTGAGCTCTCTGGCAAAAGTCCCCTTTTTTTGCCCACAAATTGTGGGTTAAACGTTCGCCATAAATCTGGCAACTGGGACTCTTGCTCTCGAATGAGCTGGTTACGAGTTGGTCCCTGCAGTTGAGTTGCGGGTTTAATCACAGGTAACTCGCAAGCGTTTAAATGCAAATGATGCGACGACTCTGGTCGGTGGCAATAAACGTGGCCAAAAGGCATTTCGTTTACGCATATGCGGAAAATGTGAACG